AAAGTATGTAGATCATTTCATTTTTTGGATAATTCTGACCAGCATTACATAGTGCCGGCCCTGAAGAGATGCGTAGAGCTATTAGTAAATTTGTGCCGATCTCTTGTTACCTATTTATATATTGCTCGGGGTCCTGCCAAATTATATATTAAAAATAAATTAGTTTGGAATAAAATTTTTAATTAATATATTTTTAATCAACGAAAATCAAGGTGGATACAGATTATAGTTTGCACTTCACACATAAGCTTTTTTTTTTGTCTTTACGCTAGGAAAATAAATAATAATATTGTATGATTGGTTAAATGAACCTTGTCTAGTAAATATGGTAAATGAAAGAAATGTAAGGTATTTCATGCTATTATCCGTATGGAGAAGATAATATATGATCAAACATTGAAGGATCTATACGTAAATCAATAATAATTTTGAAAAGTTTATTATGCAATTTTTAATTGGATAAATTTTAAAACAAAAAGGGAATTTATTTATCTTTTATTTTAAATGATATTTATTTAATTATGTATCAAGAGATATATTTTTGAATTGAGACCATATCTTCCATATTACCTTTGCACTAATCTTACTAATATTTGATGAGGCGTAAAAAAATTGAGAATGAATAAAGTGTGAAATTATGGTTAAGTATTAAATAGCTCTTGTATTAAAAATCTATTTCTACGATAAAAATATTAATAAATGTTTTTAAAAAGGACAATCTAACGGACTGCAGGTTTCATGAAGATAAATACATCATATTTTGAATATTGTATTTTATAGTGAATTTTCAAAATTAATTCGTGGTACATCTTTTTTTTGTAATGCATTTTTCTTTATTAAGGATAGATATCCATACATAGAAATACCTACACAGTAAATAGTTTTTGTATAAATTTGTACCAAATGGGCTCATCCATATATAATTGGCTCTAGATTGGCTTATTTTTTGCATAAATTTGAGCTAATTTCGAGCCAATGAGCCCATTTGGTATAAATTTATACAAAAACTATTTACTGGGCTAGAATCATATGTGCAACATGATATGACTCTATAAAAAAAACATTGATCTATCCTAAAACAAAAAACAAACAAAAACGAAAAATTAATAAACAAACCCTTATTAGCTGACCCTTCTACACTACTAACTACTAACTCTATCTCTAATAACACTGGAAGAACAATATCACAAAAACTAATGACTAGAAGAAACACTGACTAAGTCTAGATAAAGGCACAAAGGCAAGAATGGCCTAGCAACCTTTTCCCCACATCAAGTCTCTGCGACCCTACTCATCCTACAAAACTAAAGAGTTAGTCTACTGTCAAAGAAACCTTTTTAACTTTGTTTCTCGAAAATTTTTTTTCATGCAAGCATGAGACTATAGAGACTTGTTCCCTCCGTCATAGTCTTCTGTCACGTGTTTACTGCCCTATAAAAAAAGAAAATTCGGAATTTGTCCTGAAAAGTATGGAAAATGTCCGGAAATTTTCTGTGCGTCCGGAAAACATTCGGAAACGGTCACGTTTTGGAACATTTTCCGGACGCACAAATTCCAGACATTTTCTTGACACTCCAGAATTTGTCCGGAATTTGTCCAGAATCGAGCGTCCGGAAAATGTTCCAAAACATGACCGTTTCCGAATGTTTTCCGGACGCACAGAAAATTTCCGGACATTTTCCATACTTTTCAGGACAAATTCTGAATTTTCTTTTTTTATAGGGCTGTGGATATGGCCTTGGATAAATTTGATGCCGCAAGTAAATCACCTCATTTCCTATCAATCCCATTGGTTCCCTGCTGAGCTTTCCATTACCACTTTTGGAGTCAATCCGTGTGTTATATTATTGCTGCGCCAACTGAAAAAAAATTTGCGAATCGTAATACCAGTGAAAACTATTAATAGTTTAGAAGAAACTGCCATTCCAAAAGTGTTAATTATTCAAAATTAGTATACCGCTCAATATAAGCAAAATATGGCATAACAACCCTATAAAAAAAAATTTCTTTAAAATGTACTTAAAATATACTTATATATTTTTAAAATATATCTAAAATATACTTAACATTTTTAAAATATACTTAAAATATACTTAAAATTGCAATTTTAAGTATATTTAAAGTGTAAAATTTTGTACTTAAATTATACTTAAATTATATTTAAATTGCAATTAAGTATATTTTAAATATAATTTAAGTATAAAATTTCATACTTTAAATATACTTAAAATTGCAATTTTAAGTATATTTTAAGTACATTTAAAAATTTTAAGTACATTTTAGATATATTTTAAAATATATAAGTACATTTTAAGTATATTTTAAAGGCTTTTTTTTTCATAGGGCAAGCTAGACAGCCTGTAATTGATCATTTTGGGAACCGTTCATTTCACCGACAGAACCCCATGTACCCTGGTAAGGTCTATTAATAAGTAAGATGATGCTTGATATTTTAATTTTATCTGTTTGTGCTTGGTATTTTTATCTGTCCGTGCTTGAGGTTTATCTTATCTGTACTTGATTTTAATTTTATCTTGACAAAAATTAGTTTCTTTGTCAGCACAGGGGTGATATTTTGTCAATCACATGTTTTTTAAGTATAGCATAGTTTTTACACGAAGAATTTTTTTTATTTTATTGGCTTTTTTTTTATAAAACAATTTTGTAGAGAATTTTTATTTTTAATATAGGCAAAGGCTTTTTTTGATAAAATTCTTTGGAATTTTTTTTTAATAAAAAGACTTTTTTTGATAAAAATTTTGTTAGAGAATTTTTTTATTGATAGCGTAATACCTAATAAGCCCGTGATAAATCACGTTGCCACCTTAGATATTGAAAAATAAAACTTTATTAATAATATAAATAAATACAATAATGTGCTTGGTTAAATAACGTTAAATAACGGTTAAATATTTATCCTAAAATCTCTTTTTATTTTTAAAAGTTAACCAAACAATGTTTATCATTACTAATTTACGATCTATTTCCTTAAACGTAAAGTCATTTAGTAATCAATTACATTATCTTAGCGACTAGTTCTATCTATTTCATAGTTTAACGTCATTGCGGACCAATTAAAATACAATTTTAAACTACTATAAATTTATATACTAATTTTAAATATAATACTGCGCCTCATAATTGATAAATTTACTAAGTTACTATGGTTACGGCATTACAATAGGGACATTTCTGAGTTTTTTTTTCGATTGATAATTTCGTGGACATATGCCTAATTTGTTGGAACAATTTTTTTTAACAGGATTTTTTTTTTTTGATAGAAAATTCATTGAGAACTTTTTTTTACAATAAAAAATTATTATTTTGAATATTAATTATTAAAATATTAAATTATATAATACTAATATTAATTCTTTGGAGAAAGTATTTTTTGATGGAGAATTTTATTAGAGAATTTTTTTTAATAGGGGGATTGTTTTTGATAGAGGATTTTATTAAAGAATTTCATTAATAGGAAGATAAATAATTTCGCTGAGAATTTTTTTTTTTGATAGAAATTTCATCATAGAATTTTTTTTTAATAGGTAAGATTTTTTTTTTGATAGATCATTTCCATCGGGAATTTTTTTTTATATAATAAATATTTATTATATTATATAGCCATACATAAAAATCTTTATAGTCCATAGGGACCATGAACAATATAAAATTATGTAAAATATTGTGCAAAACTTAAGAATATTGTATATATTTATATATTAAAAATAATATAAATTTACACTTTTAATTATAAAATATTTTATTTCAAAATACACAAAATTACACTTTTAATCACTAAATATTTCATTTTAAAATACGTAAAATTACACTTTCAATTATAAATATTTTTATTTAAAAATATATAAAATCGCAAATAATTTTATTTAAAAATACAAATTTAATTAGCACCACTATACATTTTTCTATATATTCTTATATAATAATTTTCTATTATACCTAATCTTTCTGCATACCATTCTATGATAATATAACAATAATGAAATAAGTTAAGAATTAAGCGCAAATTCAAAATACAATATTTATTAAAATATTAAATAAGATACCTGAAGTTGATTAAAATAGACTTCTTTTCTATTTTGATTCCACTTGAATTTTCATTCAGACCAACTTAACTTATAAATAGATAACTTACTGCTGAAAGTATACCGTTCTCAAATAATAAATCCCACTCGTTAGATATCATTATTAGTTTAATTTTTGAAATTTTGTTAATATACGCAAGGAAGCCTTTTTAACTTGTTCTTTTGTTGGATATTTGTATAGTCTTCAGTAATATATGAAATATAAACCTAACGAATAAAATGTTTATTAATGAGAAAACATATATGCATTATGATAATCATTTAGTATTACTTACATCAATCCAACCGTGCCCTTTTTTGTTTGATGATACTGCTTT